ATGCATAGTCACACAAGGGACACATTGGGGGAAGTTCCGGGTTTATTCTGTTCAGGTGGAAGTTGAGCTGTATATGTTCTGTTCGTAGGCGGAAGATCGTGGTCTGTTTCTTTCTCTGAAGGCGGTTGATATTGTCATTCCTTTTTGTTGTAGTCTTTACCTTATGAAAACTGAAGACTTTTTGAAAATTGATCAATTTCTCTTTTCATTTTCTGACAACTCTAGGTATGGATGGCTAGAGGGTGTTACCAGCAAGTCACACTCTTTTATTCTCCCTCTGTTGTATCTGTCTTGTTTATGTCACTTTTTTTCCTCAAGCTTAATTACTGACTTCTTGCTGAAGTGTTTCTTATTTACTCTGACAAATGTTTGCTCCAAAAATAATGAAATTTTTAGCTTGTTTCCTAAGATCAACACTTCTGATATGTTTTAAAAAAATAAAAAATGTTAAGATACATTTTAATGATGAACCCCTGCTCTTCACTGCTGTGTTGTTCTCTTTGGTTCAGGTTCCAAACCCTGCACAACCTTCTGGAAGTGAGTCAGGCGACCATCAACGCACAGCACAGCCGTACAGGCATGACGGTGCTCGGTATCGCAGCTCAGATGGGGAATGTGGACACCATCAGTGTGCTCCTGAGGTACAAACAATCAAACTTTTAGCACATTAAGCATCCTAGTGCGGGTAGTTGGCGGGTGCTCTGGTGTGGTTTGCTTCTTCTTTCCTATCAAACATCTATTGTTCATATCTCCCCTTCTTTTTTATGTTCGTTACTCTATTGTAACATCTCTAATCTTCTGGCGCCCATATGACCTTATATGCAGTTTGCGAGCGCCGTAAAACCTCTACTAAAACTAAACCATCCTAGTGTCAACAGCCGGCTGTTATGTGTGTCACTGTTTTGGTCTGGTTACCCCAATTTTTTTATAGCACCAAACATTTCAACTTTTTCGCAAATAAACTTTGCTTCCTATTTACATTCTACTTTTTAAATATTTATAGGATTATAGCATTTACTTGCTCGGTTTGCATCTTCTCAAGCATTTTCCAGTATAATAATATGTGGGTGGTTTTAGGGTGCCACTGGTAGGACCTACTTCTTTACTCTCCCTCTGTGGTCTCTGTCTGTCTCTCTGTCTTACTTTTTCTCAGCACTAAATGATCATTATTGCGTCGATGTGCTTCTCTTTACTCAAACAAACAAACCAATATAATATGGTAAAATCTTATTATTTCCCCAAACACCACAGGTTATTTGTAAGCAACACTTCAAGAGTTAACAAAATAACTCACATGTTTTCGCTCTGCGCTTGTGTGAAACTATTGGGTTGGGTTTTTTTCCTGTCTGACAAGGTCTGCCCTTGCATGAATACAGCAACGATCATAGTGTATGTGTTATGAAAATTCTATTTCTGTTGATCATGTCATGAGATGTGAAGCGTCAGGAGATTCTGTGTTAGGCCAGGTGTTGGCGTAAGTGTTGTTTTGATGCTGGTTTTGTGTGTCTTGTGACAAGCAAGCTGTCGTTATGTTGGTGTGGGCTAGTCAAAGCCAAAAGAAATATGCATAGAAATTGCTCTTTTGTGATTGTGCAAGGGATAATTGCACCAATGTGTCTCATTCCTTATTTGTTTATCTGTTTGTTTTTCTCTTTCTCAACATTTCCCCCC